TCCAGTTGTCCCACAGTTCTCTTAAGCTGTCTTTCTATTTCTTTTTTCTTTTTTGTTTTCTGATTGGTTTTTTTCCTACCCTGTCTTCTAATACAGCTTCCTCTACTCTGCTGTTTAGTCCTTCCAATGTGTTCTTTATTTCTGCTATGTCATTTTTCACTTCTTCTTGGTGGTTTTTCATTTCCAGTTGGTTGATTTTCAATGTTTCTATGTCTTTACTCATGGTGTTGATGTCCTTACTCATGCTGTTGAGCTTCCTGAAGATCATGGCTCTGAATTCTACCTCTGATAACTTGCTTAACTGCATTTCATTTATCTCGTCTTTGATAGAGGTCTCTTGTTCTTTCCTTTGGGATTTGTTTCTTTGTTTCACCATTTTGGCTATCTCAGTGGGTTTTGAAGCCTGCCAAATTTTCTCTGTAGGTGGTGTTGTTCTGCTGTTTGTGGCTCCTGCTACTGGGTTTGGAGGAGCGTGGGAAATCCCACATTAAACACCACTGTCAAGTCTTACTTTCCTGTGTAGATTTGCAAGCCCAGGAAAGGTTCAGTTATCCTCTAGCTTTTTGCCTGGAGGGTATTAGTCGGGTTACTTGAAGAGCCTTGGTTTCTCAGTTAAATCTTGAACCAACTTTTCATCCCAGGTATAAATCGCATTTGATTATGGTTATGATCATTTTAATGTATGTATGTATGTATGTATTTATTTATTTTTGCTTTATATATAGTTAGGTGCTTCTATGTTGGGTGCATAAATGTTTACAAGGTTTATATCCTCTTGTTGGATTGATCCCTTTATGATTATGATATGTTCTTCTTTGTCTTTTGTTATGTAGCCTTTGTTTTAAAGTCTATTTTGTCTAATATAAGTATTGCTATTTAATTTTTTTTTTTCATTTTCTTTTGCATGAAGTATATTTTTCTATCCTTTTACTTTCAGGTTGCGGGTGTCTTTTGATTTGAAATGGGTCTCTTGTGGGCAGCATATGTATGTGTCTTGTATTTTTATCCATTCTGCCACTGTATGTCTTTTGATTAGATCATTTAGTCCACTTATATTTAAAGTAATATTAACAGGCATATATTTATTGCAATTTTATTGTCCATACTTTTGATCTTTTAGTTTCTTTCTTTTGCTTAAACAAGTCCCTTTAACATTTCTTGTAATATTGATTTGGTGATGATAAATTCCTTTAGCTTTTTCTTGTCTTTAGCTCTTTATTTCTCCTTCAATTTTAAAAGATAGCCTTGCTGAGTAGAATAATCTTGGTTGTAGATCCTTGTTTTTCATCTCTGAATATTTGGTGCCATTTGCTCTGGCCTGCAAAGTTTTTGTTGAGAAATAAGCTAATAGTCTTAAGGGAGCTTCCTTGTAGGTAACTGCTTTTCTTTTTCTTTTTAAAATGTGTCCTTATTGTTGAAAGTATTAACTGCTTTTCTTGTTGATTTTAAGATTCTCTCTCTGTCTTTAACCTTTGGCATTTTAATTATGTGTTTTGGTGTGGGCCTCTTTGGGTTCACCTTGTTTGGGACTCTATCCTTCCTGGACTTGTGTTCAGGTTTTCAATCCTTTGCTCTCTCTTTTTCTGGACCCCTGTTATGTGAATGTTGTTTTGTTTGATAAGTTCCCTTAAACTATTCTCATTTTTTTTGTTTTTATCCTCACCGGAGGACATTTTTCCATTTTTTAAATTCAGATAGAGCAGGAGGGAGAGAGAGGAAGAGAGAGAGAGAGAAACATCGATGTGAAAGGGACACACTGAGTGGCTACCACCCGCACGACCCAACCAGGGCCGGGGACAAACTGCAACTGAAGTACATGCCCCTAGTGGGAACTGAACCCGGGTCTCCCTAGACCGCAGGCTGACACACTACCCGCTGAGCCAAACTGGCCAGGGCATATTCTCATTTTTTAAATTCTTTTTCTTTTGCTGTTCTTTCTTTATTTTATTTTTAAAAAATTTATATTTGTTACAGATGTTTCTCCTTTTTTTCCCCATTGACACCCTCCTCCCCATCCCCCCCACCCTGTCCCTGGCTTTGTTGTCTGTGTCCATTGGTTATGCGTACATGCATACAAGTTTTGTGGTTTATTTCTTCCCTCCCACCACCACCCCATCTTCTGAGGGTTGTCAGTCTGTACCCTACTTCCATGTCTCTGGGACGACCCCATTCCTCAGACTGTTATGTTCATTATATTCCACAAATAAGTGAGATCATATGATATTTGTCTTTTTCTGCTTGGCTTGTTTTGCTTAGGATAGTACTTTCCAGGTCCCTCCATGTAGTCTCAGATTTGGTGCCAGCCTGGGCAGCTCAACGAAGTAACAATGGCATTTGCTACCCTGACCCCTGTCCTTCCAGCCCTCTCTCTGAAGTTTGTCAGTTCAGGTCCTTCCCATATGTCCCTGGTGCTTTTTGACTGGTACCTCAGTCCTGGAGCTCAGAGCCAATGAGTCCGTGAGTAAGTTCATGCTCAGGCCCTTATAAGGATACTGGGGCTCCAGCAGCCCTGTAACTGCTGGTTTTCACAGTGAGAAGTTATAGGGACTTCTTTTCCTGGCACTGGAATCCTGGGTTGGGGGGCATGGTGTGGTTCTGGGACCCCTTGCTCCTCAGGGGGGCCCTACACAGCTGACATCTCTCTCCTGTTTCTTAACCCCCACACGTGGGTATGGGGCTGCCCATTCTGCGCTTCCACTCCAGCCGCCAGTCTCCATGTGGCTGCTGCTTTCTATCCTTAGTTGTAGGAGTCTGTTCAGCTAGTCTTTGGGTGGTTCTCTAGAGATATTTAATTTTTGAGAAACTGCCGAACTGACTTTCAAAGTGGCTGCACCATTTTGCATTCCCAGTAGTGATGAATGATAGTTCCTGTTGCTCCATGTCCTTCCCAGCAGTTGTTATGAGGGTTCTGGGTTTTGGTCATTCTAATAGGTGTATCTTGTTGCTTTTCTTTTTTTTTTTTTATCCTCACCCAAGGACATTTTTCCACTTTTTGTTCAGGTAGAGTGGGAGGGAGAGAGAGGAACAGAGAGAGAGAGAAACATCGATGTGAAAGGGACACATCGAGTGGCTGCCACCCGCACAACCAACCAGGGCCGGGGACAAACTGCAACCGACGTACGTGCCCTTAGCGGGAACCGAACCCGGGTCTCTCAGGACCGCAGGCTGACGCTCTAACCGCTGAGCCAAACCAGCCAGGGCTCTTGTTGCTTTTCATTTTCATTTCTCTGATGACACATGATGGTGGGAGTATCTTTTCGTGTACTTATTTGCCACCTTTATGTCTTTGGTCAGATGTCTGTGAAGATGTTTAGCCCAGTTTTTAATTGGGTTGTTTTTAAAAAAATTGTTGAGTTATAAGAGTTCTTTATATATTATGGGTAATAGTCTTTTATCAGATGAGTTTTTTGCAAGTATTTTCTCCCAGTCTTCTGATTATCTTGATATTACTTTTTGCAGAGCAGACATTTTTAATTTTAATTTAATTTTATCAATTTTTCTGTCCTGTATCATGTCTGTTGTATCTAATAAGGCATTAGCATATCCAAGGCCATCTAGGTTTTCTCCTAGGATTTTTGTCGTTTTTTTTTTATATTTAGCTCTGTGATCCATTTTGAGTTTATTTTTGTGTCTAGATTCATTTTTTTGTGTGTGGATGTCCAGTTATTCCAGCTCCATTTGTTGACAAGACTCTCTTTGTCATGCTCCAGTGCATTACCTTTGCTCCTTTGTCAATGATCAGTTGACTATTTATGGGAGTCTATTTCTGGGTTTTCTATTCTGTTCCATTGATTTATTCAAATATTCTTTTGCTAATACCACACTTAGACATCTTTAATAAAACAGCGAAAGTAAGCTTTGCTTTGGGCTGATGGTATGACCTCAAGTCAGTTTGTTCTGTCTGTGCTTTTTTGTGTTGTTGTTGTTGTTAATCCTCATCCAAGTATATTTTCCCACTGATTCTGAGAGAGTGGATAGGAGGGAAGAAGGGGAGGAACACTGATGGAGAGACATATCGATCGACTGCCTCCCTCACAACCTCTACTGGGGTTGGGGATCGAACCTGCAAGCCAGGTACGTGCTCTTGACTGGGATCGAACCCATGACCTTTTGGTCCACAGGCTGTAATTCTAACTGCTGAGCCAAACCGGCCAGGGCCTGTCTGAGCTTTGAGTCCAGTAGGAGGAGGTTGGTTCTCTAGGACCTGCTAATGGGCTGCTGCTGTGCTGCTTGAACTGCCTGCGGAAGAGCTAGTTTTATTTTCTTTCTTTAAATTTCCAGCCTCTGCAGACCATTACTTTTTCAAAATATAACAAAATGACTAATCGGAAAATGGTCCTTATGGTCACAGCAGTGTCAAATCACGAGTCTCCAAATGCTCCGTTCTGAAGCCACCATTCGCAGACGAGTGGAGCGCACTCTGGAAGCCCTGCTCCGCACAGGGGCTCAGGTCGGAGGGGCCGGTCTGTGTGCCCAGAGCTGCTCGTGAGAACGGGAGCTAAGCCGGGGCCTGGGGCTCTGACGGCCTGGGAATGTGGGTGTCAGGAGGGGCTCCTGCCACCTCTCAGATCAGGCCGGTCCCTGGGAGCCGGTGTACCCTCGCAGTCCTCTTCTCTCAGCGTGTTCCTCACATGGACCCGCCTCATTTGAAGGCAGAGGAACAGCTTGGGGTGCTCTTAGGGGCAGTGGCAGGGGCCCTGAGAAGGGGCTTTAAGGGTGGACTTCGAGGGTTCCAGCCATAGAACCTCGGGACCACAGGATTGAGGACATTCTAATATTCAAAACTTGGCATCACGGGCTGTCAGAAGTGGAAGCGACATCAGGGATCACCTCATTGTCCAAGCTGATTGGTCACCTGCTCCTCCTCCCCTGCCTCTGGCCCAGCCTTGAGCTGCGAGCGTCTGTTCGCCTGGAAGCCTGGAGGCTCCGGGCTGCCCGCTGCACGGGCAAGTATGGGCCCCTTGGGTGCCCCAGGCTTACCCTGGTGCTTTGTTCGGTAGCTTCAGACACTGTGTGCTCCGTTTGACTGAGAACAACTCACAGCCCTTGATGACCAAGCTGCAGTGGCTCTTCGCCTTCCTGGAGCATAGCCAGGTGAGTGCAGGGGCCTGGGGTGTGGTGGAGGGAGGCTTGGGTCTGACACCCTTCCCTTCCCCAGGGCCTGCCTGCATCTGGCTATGAGCCTCCACTTCTGCTGTAAGAGCCCCTGTCCAGGCTGGCCTGGGTTCTGGCCAAAGCCCGCGGAGCGGATTCTGCCCCTTACCTGACAGGAGAGGGGGCCTCCTTAAGCCCTCTCCTTGCTGTGCTGCCCGCCAGCCCGAGGTCCAGTCCGCGACCCAGTCCACTGCTTGGGCATTGCTCTGTTCCCCTGCTGACATTTTTGAGCACTCACATTGCTGGTACCCCGAGGACCATATTTGTTTTGTCCACTGTCTCTGCCCTCATGGAACCTAAAACCCTGGGCTGGGCATCATGCAAGGCCGTGAAGGGGCACAGAGATGAGTTTGCGACAGTCCCTCCCTCATGGGAGGGGAGGAGTCAGTGAGGAGGCCGGGAAGGTTGGGGCAGAGTCCCTAGGCAGGTCCTCGGGCCTAGCGAGCTGGCTGGAGAGCGGCTTCCTGTCCTGACCCTGCCTTTCCCCACCGCTGTCCTAGCGGCCGGCCATTTCTCCAGAGAACTTCCTCTCGGCGTCCTGGACACCCTGGTTTAGCCCCGGCACCCAGCAGGACTGCTCGGAGTACCTAAAGTACCTGCTGGATCGGTAAGGGAGGCCAGGCCCGGGGGAAGCCCACCCCTCCATGCTGTTTGCCTCTCCCTGGAAATGGGGGTGCTACGTTGCACCCGTGGAAGGTTCGGAGCCGTGTGCCATGAGTGTGGGGCTGGGGCTGAGTAAGAGAAGTTTGGGAGATGCTGACCTCAACTGTGACCTGGGAGTGATGTGTGTGCGTGTGTGCGCGTGTGCAACCCTGCGCTGTGCTTGCCTGAGTGTGCATGTGTGTTTTTGTCAGGTCTGAGGGCCATGCACATAGATACGTAGCAGGTTTGTGTGCCTGTATGCAGTAAATGTGTAGTGTGTGTGCCTGGCTTGTGAGTGCATGGATGCCGTTTTGCACATGTATGTGTATTCCCTGAGCAGATCCTGCACTGTATACATGTAAATGTGTGGCCTGCATCAGGCCAGTGCGCTGGAAGTGGACCTGTGTAGAAGGCTCTGCTCCCTGCTCTAGGCTGCACGAGGAGGAGAAGACGGGGACCAGGATCTGCCAGAAGCTCAAGCAGTCCAGCTCGCCGTCCCCCCCGGGGGAGCCCCCCGCCCCCAGTTCAACCTCTGTGGAGATGATGTTCGGAGGCAAGATTGTGACGCGGATATGCTGCCTTCGCTGCCTCAATGTCTCCTCCAGGGAGGAGGCCTTCACGGACCTCTCCCTCGCCTTCCCCCCACCTGAGCGCTGTCGCAGCCGCCGCCTGGGCTCAGTGATGCTCCCTGCAGAGGACATCAGAGCCCCGGAGCCCCCACCGCCGTCCCTGGCCCAGGTCCAAAGCAGGGCGGGTCCTGGGAGGCAGAGGAAGCACTGCATCACGGGGCACGTCCCCCCAGCTGTCCTGGGCGTGGAAGGCCTGGGCCCCCAGGGACCTGGAGTGCAGAGCCGGCAGGAGCCGGTGGAGACAGAGGAGGAAGCGGAGGAGGGGAGAGGAGAGGACGTGGGCGAGAAGGGTGGAGAACGAGCTGGAGAGGCGGAGGAGGAGGAGAAAGAGGTAGAAGAGGAGAAGGTGGAGGAGGAGGAGGAGGACGACAGCCGCCCAGGCGCTCACCCGGCCGCCCCCTCTGCGGAGGGCTCCCGCTCCGTCCTGGACCTGGTCAACTACTTCCTGTCCCCCGAGAGGCTCGCGGCGGAGAACCGCTACTACTGCGAGTCGTGCGCGTCGCTGCAGGAGGCCGAGAAGGCGGTGGAGCTGAGCCAGGGCCCGCGCTACCTCATCCTCACGCTGCTGCGCTTCTCCTTCGACCTGCGCACCATGCGGCGCCGCAAGATCCTGGACGACGTCGCCGTCCCCCTGCTGCTCCGCCTGCCGCTGGCCGGGGGCCGGGCCCAGGCCTACGACCTGTGCAGCGTCGTGGTGCACTCCGGGGTGTCCTCCGAGAGCGGCCACTACTACTGCTACGCCCGCGAGGGCGCCGCCCGCCCGGCCCCTTGCCCGGGAGCGGCGGACAGGCCCGAGCCCGAGCACCAGTGGTACCTCTTCAACGACACCCGGGTGTCCTTCTCCTCCTTCGAGTCGGTCAGCAACATCACCTCCTTCTTCCCCAAGGACACGGCCTATGTGCTCTTTTACCGGCAGCGGCCTGGGGAGGGCCCCGAGGCCGAGCCAGGCTCCCCCAGAGTCCGCACAGAGCCCACCCTCCCCAAAGACTTGATGGAAGCCATTTCCAAAGACAACATCCTTTTCCTGCAGGTGAGCAGCCCCGTGGGCACCTCTGCTCGGAGTTCCTCCGAGTCTCTTCCTTTCCTCTTTTGTCCATCCACCTATCACTTAGTGCTGGGATAACTGGGGACCAAACAGCCATACCCCCGCACTTCAGAGGAGCAGACGCTGAATAGTCATCAGTTACTCATTCAGTCTCCTACGTGCTGGCGGGCAGTGCGGGGTTCTATGCGTGGGGACCCCTCCCAGCGAGCCTCCTCTGCACCGTGCCTGTGACTGCTCTGGAGTGTGACGGGTGGTGTCAGTACTTAGCAACTGGCACCGCAAGGCCTCTGACCAACGAGAAGGGTAGTGGCCACGAACAACTGCAGCGACCACGCCAGGACCTACACGGCCAGCAGCACCTGGGTCAGTGTTGATGTGGGGGAGGTGGCACCTGGGTGGGTCACCAGGCCTGCCTTTGCCCTTCTGCCAGGCTGTCCAGCAGAAGCCAGCCTCAGCTCAGCAGGAGGAAGAGCTTGTTCATAGGCGAGTCCAGGCCCAGTGCCTTCAGGCAGTGAACTGGACAGTGGTACCAGGAAGCCCGCAGAGAGGTCCCTGTGTGGTATGATGTGACCCTCGCAGTCCCTGGACCTCCTGCCTCCTGGTGCCACAGTCTAGTATGAATGAGCTCCTTTCCTCCAAGGGGCTGGGCTTTTGTTGGGAGAAGGAAGAATGATTTTGAAGCTTAGACATAGGATGGAAGGATGGCTCCATCCCCTGCCTCCCAGGGGACTGGACCGCCTGTAGGGCAGAAGCTTGGCTCCTCTGTGCTCGGGCAGAAGTGCTGTGCTGGGGGCGCTGGGGAAGGCGGGGAGGACTGCTCCCAGGCCCCAATCGTAAGCTTCCTTCCCCCGCTTCATGTGTTCCCAGGAGCAGGAGAAGGAGGCACGGAGCAGGGCCGCCTACATCTCTACGCTCCCCCCTTCTCCGCACTGGGGAAGGGGCTTTGACGAAGACAAGGATGAGGACGAAGGCTCTCCAGGGGGTTGCAACCCTGCCGGTGGCAATGGTGGTGACTTCCACAGACTGGTCTTCTAATGTGAACACTTCCCTGTTCCTAGCTGTGGGGGTGCCTCAGCCGGCCTCCGGGGAGGCCCTGACCCCTTTCTTTGGGAACCAGGTCTGGTTCTAAACACAGGCCCTTCCAAGGGCAAGAAAGGAGGAGAGGAAGCATGTGGGACTCTGGTCCTCAGTCTGAGGGTACACGGAGACTGAGATGCAGAGGTGAGACCCAAACCCCTTCAACTCAGCCTCAAGCCCTGATGCTGGCCTCGACCCCATTAGGATTTTACTGAGTGTCTTGGCCAACTTGAAGCACCTTAGATGGGACCCTGGAGCCTGCGCGCTCGCAGCCTGTGGACAGGGCTGCGCTGTGCAGCTCCAGTGTTTGCCTGGGCAGCATTGCCCTTCCAGCTCCTTCCCGGCGGCCCCGTTGCTCTCCAGCATAAAAGCAGAGTGGGGGCCGCGCCCTTGCCCCTCTGTGCATCACACCTCTGGCTGCCTTGGTTCTCTGGGGTTTCACCGGCAACGTGTGGGTGCTGCTCTGTTTGTACTTCTGAGTGGAGTGTAGACGGGAAGCAGCCTGGCCCAGCAGGAACACACAGAGGCGAGGACAGCCCCACACAGTGGGGAACCCCTCTCCCCTAGCCTGCCTCAGTGCCTGAGATGCCACTGTTTGCATCCCCCTCTGGTTAAGACAGAGAATCTTTTATTGCAATTATGTCTGTTTCTCACGAAGCCACTGTCTGCCCGAGGAAAGCTGGCTGGCTCGCTCCTGAGCAGTTGGCCAATAGTGCGGCGGCCTGGGGGCGGGCGGGCGGGTGTCTGGTGTGGAGCGTGGATACTGACCTCATGCGCCCTGACACTGCTGTACCCCTTCTAAACGGGGAGAAGAGACTCAGGAGCTCAAACAGGAATAAAACTAGGTTCTCTGAAGCCTTTAAAGATGTCATTCTTCCCACCCCACGGCAGTGCTGTCCTGGCTTCCTGGGATGTGTCGAGGCCCCGTCCCCGGCTTGTGCAGCACCCACTGCGTGCTCTGTGGGCCGGCGAGGACGGGAGGCTCATCACCCTGCGGAGAAGGGAGCCCTTTGCCTTTGTAGGGCTGCCCAATGGGGTGTCATCAGGGGACTTGTATCAAGTGGGGCTACAGCCCAGTAGCTACTGCCTTCCTTCCCTCTGAGGACCGGGGGGCTGGTGGCCTCTGCTGGGCGGGACAGGGACCAGGCCAGGAGAGCTGGGCGGCAGGGCCTTCCCCCAGGTACCACACCACCTTTGGAGCTGGCGGGGCACACAGGGCCCTTCCTGCCAACCCTGCCCGTTCACGTGGGGAGAGCCAACGAGGTGGGAAGGCAGGGACAGGGGCGGTAGCCAGGGCTACCTGTCTATGCTGTAGGTGAGTTTTGGCCCAAACATCACAGACCTGTCCATGTCAGCTCGCAGGGACCAGCGACAGTGGCCGAGTCTGTCACATCACACACATTCATTCTTCAGCCCCAGTCCAGGGCGCCGTCTGACTTGGCAGAAGTCATTACCATTTACACAGCAGGAGTCAGTCTGAGGTAAGGAGGGTTCGTTCTTGGTTCCAGCCAAGAAAAGTACTCAGTTGTTTTTGATGACAATGGAAGCAGAGCAGACTGGCCCAGAGCCTTCCCCAGACCCAGAGTGAAGCCCCTTCTCACCCAGGATGTGTAAGCCGGCCTGTGGGCTGGCGTCGGCTGCCCCCCAGCCCTCGGACAGGAGACTTGGAGCCCACGCTGGTTGCTTCTAATGGACTTTATTGTTGTCCTGCGCCAACACCACAGTAAAAAGGGGCCTGCAAGCGTCAGGCCTGTACCATGTGTCACCACAGCAAAAATCAGGGGCCACACGAACACGTTCCCACCCCACCTCGACCTACTCACAGGATAAATACGTGTTACATATTTTTTTTAAAAAAGAAAACAGAATAAAGAAAACAGAATAAATTAATAACTTAAGTGATTAGGCACCGACAGTGATTTGAAAAATTAAATGTCAATTTTAAATGGTACAAGGGCAAGAACCCAAGACTGGGCTTTTCCCAGCCCATTCTGTTCCCAACAAACAGCAACAATTCTGTGTGAATGATTCTAAAGTTCAAGACACATTTAACCAACAAACACACAAGAACACACACTACCCGATATCACACGACAGCCTGACCTCCAGCAGGTGCCCCCGCAGGTGGCGGGTCTGGCCCCACAGAGCTCGGGCGGGGGCGTCAGAGCCGAGGTGCTCAGCCTCGTTCCCCCAGAGAAGGACGGGCTGGCTTCCCTCCTGGGCTCCGCTCTGGCGGGTGGGGGAGGCAGGTAAAGGGGCCAAAGGGCACACTGCAGTTGAGCCAGTGCTCCGATCACTTCAGAATGGTTGTGCTTCTGTCCTAGGAACAGGGCATAATTGAATTGTTTCAGATGTTACCGAACTCATCTAGGGAGGGGACTGGGCTAACGTGCTAACGTTCTGGGAGCTGCTCATCCCTGGTGATCCAGACCCTCGAGAGGTCACAGGGCAGGGAGTTCTCCCTTGAAAACAGCTGAGTGTCAGCCATATCAGGGGCCTCAAAGACCAAATCTCACCACCCATTTCACAGATGGGCAAACCAAGGCCTGAAGGAGACACCCCACCCTGGAGCACTCTCTCCCTCTCTCCTCACTGTTCCTGCTCTACTTTCTTGAGCCTTGCAGAGGTGGGGCTGGGAGTGGGTGAGGACAGCTTCTGTGGGGAGCCCCAGGCAGGATGGGTCCTGTGTTAACTGTGCTGAAAAAGCATCTCCAGTCTTGCTAGGCCACCACAAGAGGTGAGCTTTGACCCACTGATGGGCCAAAGGACCAGGTTCTGAAACTGAGCTGACAGGTATGTCTAAAACACCTGGTGGTTTGGGGCTTGGGAGCCAGCTCCCTGTTCTCTTGTACTTCCTCCCATCTCTACCCTGAGTCTGGTGGGAGTTACAGAAACCAAGACTGAAGGGGGGTCTCCTTGCAGGTTAGATTTGAACAGTCGGAATACTCCAGCCAGTTTAACACACTGCGTACCGCACAGAGATCTCTAAGACATACGCCAGGGACCGCACGCTTTTGGGCAAACTGCACGTTAGGTTCTGAGCTGCACTCATGTGAACCAGCAGAGAGCCATTCCCCAGCTACTTCAAGAATACAGAACGGTGTGCTGTTTTTCGAACTTCGACCCTCAGGGTGAAGAGTCACAAATACAGTAATCCTATATACCCTGAGTTTCAGAAACTGAAATAGCTAATGCAAGTGCAAACCCGAGTTAACTCGTGCGTGGTCCGCAACGTTTGGGCAGGAAAACACGAGTTAACTTGTGAGCGGTCAAAAATGTATTAATTCACATCATGGCACATTCAGAAAATGCTGACACCAGGGCAGCCAGCAGTCGTCAGCCGGGGTGGGGGTTGGGGGGCGGCACCATTAAAAGCTCTGCCATATGCGACCTTTCCTAGGGACACAGTCAGGGCTGGACAGGGTGCACCAGCAAACCCGCCCCCTGCAGACTACTAATGCCACTTTACCTGTGGGAACACAGAGCAGGGGACCCTCCTGACGGTCTTTTGTTCCCAAAGCACAAGACTTTCCAAGTCCCTCGTCCCTTCCTCCATTGAACCCAGCGCTGCTCTCTTTCCTTCCAAACCTGACCCAGCTCCTCCTGAGGCCCTTCTCCGGCACCTCTTTCCCCAGAAACCACCCTGTCCGAGCTCAGCCCCTTCCCACTCCTGCCCCAGCGCCCCCCTCCTGCCCGGCACCCGCCTCCCGGAGCAGCGGCCTCACTCCTCTGCTCCTGCTCCAGGCGCTCGATGGCTGTGCCTCGTCCCGGGAATGGGGACATCAGCATTTTCAGCCTCTCATGGCCATTACCAATACCTTACGTCCTTGTCTATTTTCACGAACTGTGACCTTCTCAAGTGCAGGGACAGTCTGATCAACTCCTGTGTCCTCCGTGCCCAGCCCAGAGCCTGGTCACAGCAGCCCTTAATAAATGCTGGTTGAACGGATTTGAACTAATACTAGGAGGAGGTTGAGAAAATTCCTCCAGGATGTGACTTCTTAGGGAACGGTCAGGCCACGGGGCTGGCGAGGGTGCGCACACACACAGGCGAGTGGTAGCCACCTCCGTTCAATGTGCTGGGAAGTCTTTTTCTTTTAAAGGACGGTCTACTCCCCAGGGTAGGTAGCCGGAAACATCTGGTCTTCCCGGTTGCCTTTGAAACTCTGGCCAAGCAGTTTCAGATCTGCCCTCCCTCCTGGCCCTGGCAGGGATGGGTACTATCTGAGAGCCTCTCAACCACGGGAGCAGAAGCCTGGCCTCTCCTGTCCCTGTAGCCAGGTTGGAGTCCAACAGGCACCTGGGATGTGAGGGTTCCACAGAGGTGAGGTAACCTGAGAACCAGCCTGGCACCAGGCCACACATGCACCGGCCCCGGGCCCTGGCACAAACCACACCGCACAAGTCTTGGCCGTTCCCACGTCCTTCTCCAGGCTGCCCTGCCGTCCTCTCACACCACGCTGCTCCGACACGTCACTCCTTCACTTTCTGCCCCCCCCTGCATCCCCACAGCTCTGTGGTGCGCCCATGGCCTGCACCCCTGCCTCGCATCCCATCAGTCATCTGCGCCCCCCTCTGCCCAGCTCCTTCCTGTCCCAGGGCTGCCCTTCAGCCCCTGCATCACCTCCAGTGACCCCACGCTCCTTCTCCGCACCTGCCCAGCCCAGGCTCCCCTCGGGAGGCAGGAACTTGGGGGTGTTCTGCCCCAGAGCGGGCCTGTGGCTCCACAGTCTCAGGGCCCGACCGCAGTGTCCCTGTGTCTCCGTCTCCTGGGCTATGAGCCGCCCTTGCTCTTGGTTGCCCATCGTCCTGTCTTCCCTCCCTCTGGTCCTCAGCCTCCTGCCTCTCCCACCCTGCTCCGGCCGCGCTGCCACTAGGCCTCTAACCTCTGTCCCTCAAGACCACTCTGACCTGCCTTCTGACTCCTCCGTTTTGGTGCCTCGCCCCTCCCCTGCCGAGCCAGAAGGGAAGGAAGTCCATGTCCACTTTGGTCTGCTGGTCCTTGTCTTCCTGGCCAGTGAGATGAGGGCTTCTTCCGGGGTGGAGGAGGTAGCCCAGGGGCTGGGGAAGGGGGCCGGGCTGCGAGCGAAGGTGAGGTGGAGTCTGCTCAGGGCCCCAGCCCTTCCCTCCAAACATCTGGTAGATACTCAGGTCTAAAGGCAGCAGGAGGCTGAAGGGTGCTTTTTGGCAGGAGCCCTAACTAAGGTGAATAGAGGCATGGCCATGACTGGTACAGATCACAGGTGGGCCCCAGTGGGCGGAGGCAGTGCCTTGATCAGGCCCTCGCCTCCCAGGGGAAGGGGCAGGTCCCTGATGTCAAATGCTTTGAAGGCGAGACTGGCAGAGGGGAGGGGCGCACAGGAGGGGATTCAGCGAGGAGCCAGCTTCGTGCGGTGCCTCCGGGCCCCTCTCCAGGCCGGGTGGTCCCCGAGTCACAGCTTGGCGCCCTTGGACGGCTCTGAGGACTGCCGCACGTCTGTCCACTCCTGCATGGTGCTCTGCAGGGCCTGGGTCTTCTCCTTGTCCACCTGGACGTAGTCCACCTTCTCGTCAGAGGTGACGGATGACGTGGATGGCTGAGGGACAGAGCAGGGAAGCAGAAGTTGCTGTGAGTTACTGCGAGGTGGGTGCTGGTGGGGACCCTTCCTGAGCTGTCTCCAGGGAGGAGGTGGGCCTCACCGGCCACTCTGAGGAGTTTGTCTTTTGTCCTGTAAGTGGCCTCTGACGCCCAAACTCCAACTGCACCATCCCTTCTGTTTGATACAACAGCCCTCCAGGCCCCATCTGTCTCCACCCACCTCAGTGCCTGCACATCCCGGGGAGGAATTTGCTGGGTGCCAACAAGCACCAGCCATAGGCCTGTGTGTGGACCCCTTGGGGAGCACTCACGGCCACCGGATGAGGGGGACCTGTGCTGAGGCAGAGTGCCCCGCCCTGCGTCCGGACTGGCAGCTGAGTACTTCCTGCGGGGCGCTTTCCCAGGCCACGAGTCCCTTCAGAAGGCCACCGCGTCAACAGTAGGGCTCCGGGCCCACCCAGACAGTGAGTTCTCTTCAAAGAGAGCTCGAGACAGGACACAGGCATCCCGAGTGCTGGATCTGTCACTCACTCACTCACAGCTGTCAGCAGGCCCTGTCTAAGGGTGTCATCTGCCCATCTGTGCAAGAGGAAGGCCTGGCTGACGAGGCCCCAGGACCCTGGGGGTCCTGCCCCGACGAGGAGGAGGAGGAGTGCTGCTGTCAGGGGCTGAAGGCACTGCCCACCAGAGAGAGCCCCGAGAGCCCCACCCTCCCCCCAAGGCACCTTGCGGTGGGGGCTTGGGGAGCTTGGCTGGAAGTCCAGGGCCAGGTAATCGACGCTGCCGGTGCTCTTCTTAGGGGCTGGGCTGTTGGTGCCGCTGGGAATGGGCGATGCAGACACTGGGTTTTGCTATCCAAGGAGGAAAACGACGGTTAGGTTAGGAACTAGACTCGCTCCCATCCAGAAGCACACCTCTGGGAGCGCGAGCTGCTAGCCTGCTTGGAGCCACGCAGAGCCAGTGCATTCTCACTGAAACCCTTACACCAGTCCTGTGATGTCGGTATTATTACCGTGTTTACTTTTTACAACAAAGATAAAAGTGGTTCAGAGAAGTAAACTGATTTGGCCTGTGGTTGTAGAGCTGGTGCACAGGGATGGGAACCAAGTCTGTTTCCTGACTCAAACGTGTACTAATCCCAGGGTACCACGTTCTTCCCTTCAGGCCTCAGGCCCATCTCGCCTACAGTCTCCCCAGCAGCCCCAGCCTTGCCTTGCGGGCCCTGAAGAAGGGAGCCTACTTCCTTGATGTGCTGGACACTGGAAAGTCATCTTCTTTTGCAGCAAGTCTGCTTCTCTGAAACTCCCACCCATGGCCTGGAGAGGGTGGTCACTCTGAAGCAGCGTACCCCCCCAGCCCCCGCTCCTCAGGGATCTGCACGGAGTGGCCTCGTCCCCATGCTGCCCAAAGCCCCCATTCCCTCCGCTCTTCCGATGATATGCACTGGGGTCCTGTCTCTGTCCATGTTTCCCCTGAAGTCTCATTCCAATGAGAAGGGCAATAGTCCTATGTTGTTTATGGCTTGGTTGGTTCTTCCCATCTGCAGCAACTACCATGTGCTGGGCAGCTACTCTCTCTCTGTTAATCCTCACCTGAGGACATTTTTCCACTGATTTTTTTTTTTTTTATCCTCATCCGAGGACATTTTTGCATTTATCTTCAGATAGAGTGGGAGGGAGGGAGGGAGGGAGGGAGGGAGGGAGGGAGAAACATTGATGTGAGAGAGACACATTGACTAGTTGCCACCCACATGACCCCAACCGGGCCGGGGACAAATTGCAACCAATGTACATGTCCTTAGTGGGAACCGAACCCGACTCTCTGGTCTGCAGGCCATGCTCTAACTGCTGAGCCAAACCGGCCAGAGCTTTTTTAGAGAGAGTGGAAGGGAGGGAGAGAAATCCCGCGAGACCCTTTGATCCTTGGGCCGACACTCCAGCCACTAAGTGCACCGGCCAGGACCAGCTGTTCTTTCGACAAGACTCTCGGTGAGGAATCGTGCCATGCGCTGCCTGTGTCTACACCAGCCGTGGCCCTCAGCCGCCGTGAGCCGTCATGTGTGTTTCCCCACGAGGAGGACTGAGTAAGCGCTCACACGCGCTTGCTCACGGCAGCAGGAGGAAAGGAAGGGCAGCTCTTTTACCTTTGGAAGATTTTAACAGGATAGGAGTTAACCCTGAACGGCGCTCTTTGAAACACCTGTCTAATCACCTGGCCTGCTAACCCTTCTGGGCCTCCCTCCTGCCCACAGCGAAAGTCCAGACTGCCCAAGACAGCATGTGGGGTCCTTCGTGATCTGCCCCCAACCTTCCCCCGCCCACCCCACCTTCAGCCAGTTAATGACTATGGTTCTTCCCCATGTCCCCCCTCTGCACAGCCACCTCCACCTCGGTGCCTCCCCTTTCTTCAGCCTGGTATGATCACCGGTCCTGCAGATGTGTCCCCCATTGTCCTCTCAGGAGCACTGACCATGCCACCTGTGTTATAGTCACAAGAAAGGTGGGTCTTCTCTGCCCCTTATGACTGTGGCCTCTTTGAGGGTAGGGACCATGTCTTCATGTCTCTGATGATGACCCCACACATGTGGCTCAAGAAAGATTTGCAGCAGCAAACAAAACAAAAAGCAATGTGGGAATAAACGGGCTGAGGCGAGTGAGTCGAGCTGGGAAGTGGGGACATGAGAGTCAGGTCCCGGGGACTCAGGTGGGAGTCATTCCTGTGGACCCCAGCGGACTCACCATAGAGACGTAGTTCTCTTCACTGTCTCCTGAGTCTGTGCTGGTGATGCTCTGTGTGGAGATGGGGCGGCAGTACTGGGAGGAGCTGGGGTTGAAGGTGTGGCTGTTGTGGGGGGAAGACAGAGAGTAAACCCAGGGAAGTTTCCAGTCTCCAACCCTCACACACCCCGACCTCCGCCCCCAGAGCTCCACACGTCATTAGCAGATCAGGATCTGATACAGGGTGATATAATCACCCCCCCTTTCAGATGAGGAAGCCAAGCCCCAAGAGATCGAGAGGCTGCACAGCTACTGCTGGCATCATCCTCAGGCTGCGGCCTTCCTGACTCCAGCCTGCCCCCCCCAACCCTGACGGCTGTGTCAAGCTCCCGCTTCCCAAAAGACACTCACATGGCCCTCGACCAAGACTTGGTGACAGGCGATTTGAAGGGGAGCTCATCGATGACGGTGTTGTTTCTCAGGTCGAGTGGTGTTGGCTTTGCTGGAGCAGGAACAGAAAGTTGAGTTATTAGCCATTAATAACAATGTCACACATACTTACACATAACACACAAGCCTATTTATGAATGCCCTCAGATCCATCCTAGTTTTACACAGGGACACTGAGGCTCAGCACAGTGATATTATCAGCCAATGTCAACGGGCCTTGAGATCATGTCTTCAGATTCCAAATGCTTTGCATTGTACCAATGGTAATTGTAATTTTCAGAATCCAAAATGGGGACACAGGGTCTGAGAACAGATTGTTCTCCCCAGATCTGTGAAATGAGAGAGGACATCTGGGTTGGAGAATGCCACCCAGACGACGCTGCTCCTCCTGGACCAGGCTGGGAACTGGGAGTGGAGGGAGGGGCCCCCAGGAGGCCCTGTTCCGGTCAAAGGCTAAGGTCTGACTTCCTATTGACCAGACGGACTGGGCTTCTCTCTGCAGAGTGACTCCGAGGGAGCAGCCTGAGGGACAGCAGGCCTGGAACTGAACTCCAGCATTTTCCTGGTCTGGATGCCGGACACGCATCTAACCTGACGGAACACCTGCTGCAGACCAGAGTTGATGTGGAGGAAAGAATGACTATTTTCATTTAACAGATAAGAAAACCCGAGGCTCAGAGCAGTTAAATGATTTGCCCAAAGACACACCTAGGAAGTCCTAGATAAGGATTCCAACCCCCATTTACATGGTTTGAATGCTCAAGTCTTTCTAGCCCATCACAGTAGATTTTTTAATCGGTTACTTTGCAGTTCCGCCCTGTTCTACCCCAGATCCAATGCTACCCCTTTACCCTTGCATAGCATTTTACACATGAGGAGGTACTTTTAGATACAGTAGCTATGTCCCTCAGTTCCTCTGGGAGGTACACATTGTATTTCCCATTTCACCAACGAAGCCAGAAGGCTCAGAGACACAGAATGATTTGTCTCTACGCACGTGTTAGGTGGAAGAGCTGAAACCTGAATCTGTGCTGTCCTGAACCCCACCTGCCTCTGGCCACCAGGTGTCTCCTGCAGCCAGTTGTTATGGTGCCAGGCCACGGGGAGGCATTTGGAGGGTTTGTGTATGTGTGTGAGATTTGGGGGTGGTGTAGGCCCCAAAGGCTACCACTTCCTTGCAAGTAAAGTTCAGGACCCACTTGATTACTAAATGAATGCAAATAGCCCCTGGCCATTGTCCAGAGATGGGACAGGGAGAGAGTGGACCTACCTTTCCGGTCAGGCTTGAGGTTGCGGTTGACGGGGGGTGGCTGGATCTCACTGCCCCGGCTGGGGCCTCGGTGCATAGGAAGGGCTGCAGAGGGGTAGCCAAGCGAGTCAAAGTGATGGGGCCCTGGGCTCATGGGGATGTAGACACTCTGGGAATTATCGCCTGCTCGCTCCATGGCCAGCAGGGTGGAGGAGCCTGGATTCATGGGCACATAGTTGTCTTCGGAACTGATGCTATCCGATCGGCCTAAGAGTGTTTTCCCAGGCTAGGAAGGAGAGTGGGAGACATACAGCTGTCACCAGCAGGAATAAACAAGAGAGGGTGGGGATTTATATCTAAGGGAAGAAAAATCATGACTGAGTCGCACTGTGAAGCGATAAGGTAGACTCTGGGAAACCAAATAAGAAAGCCTAGTGGGAGACAGGAAGAAATGAGGTCTGTGGGTCCCTTCTAGCTCTCATGCTCCCTTGGGAGTCCCTTATAGTTTCTGATAAACCTTTAGAATGAAACATCCTTGGTGGCTGGGTCCACGAGGCTGTTTGGATGCCTAAAGGCAGGGGGCAGCAGAGGCCTCGGGCTGCACGGGTTTGCTTTAGACTGCCCACCGCAAGTGTAGACTCACCATTGGAAGGTCAGCATGTCAGGACCTGAGCTGGGCGAGGGGCGTATCAGAAGAGGAGGGCCGGGCCCGCTGTCTCCACCCCCCAGTCCAGCTCTCAGTGTGCCCACCCAGCTGCAGTCTGTGCGATGCAGCAACCCTGACCAGAGCCTTCTTTCAACTCTTGCCCTGTGTGTCCAGACGTAATGTCCAGTCTTTTCTGTGCCCCTGAAGTCAGGCTGAATCTGCTTAGCTGGGCCCGACACCTTGCAGAACTATGGTCAGCCCCTCCAGGGGGCAGCCTGGGATCCTGCATTCAAACCACAGTCCTGCCGAGCCTGTCTGACTACCCCTCTGGCAGTCTCACCACAGCCCCTCGTCGAGGAGAGACCTGGTGGTGAGGACGCTGTATTCCAGACCCCTCCTGTTACCCACAGGGCTGGGGAGCCTTAGTCTAGTCTACACACATTTCCTCCACAACAGGATACCTGTATCTTACTGTCTAAACTCTCAACTCAGGAGGCCCTGGCCAGGTGGCTCAGTTGGTTGGAGCACCATCCTGTACACCAGAAGGTTGTGAGTTCGATTCCCAGTCAGGGCACATACCTAGGTGGTGGGTTCTCTCCCTGGCTGGGGCTCGTACAGAAGGCCATCAATTGATGTATCTCTCTCTCACTCTCAAATCAATAAACATATCCTTGGGTGTGGGTAAAAACCAAACTCAAAACTCAACCCAGGGTTCAGAACTGAGACAAGAACTAGGCAGGGTCTAAGAGGAAGATGCTACCACTCCTTGGGTGACCTTGAACCCACCTGAGCTGGCCTATGACCCGTGGCTGAACCCCACTCACCAGGAAAGAACCGACTCCGTCACTCATGGACTCTGCAGACCGGCCTGCACTCTCTCGGCCGCGCTGAGGGTACTCGTAGGACTCACAGGAAGAAGCTGTGACAGGAAGGAAGATCAGATGCACTCACAGTCTGTGTGTGGACACTCGCTAGTGTTGCTCAGGGTCTTACCGAATCTCCAGAAGACACTACTCTCAACCCCCACGATCAGGTATCACCTCACCCCTCAGTTCAGAAATTCCCCCCAGGCTTCCAGACCGGGCTCCAGGGAGGGCATCGACGTGGATCCCTCCTGGACCACGTCTGCCCACATGTACGCACCTCTCCTCTGACTCTGTAGCACTTACCACCTGTGCCCCTCACCTGCCTGCCACGGACACAAACACTACTGTAACGCCGAACCTGACTAATGTATACATGTGGATGTTATTTCCCGAACTGTGAGTTCTCTGAAGGGCAGGGACATGTTTTCTGTCTCTGTCATCTCCATTCCAAACCACAGGGTGACTGACCAAACAGCTGATGGATGGAAAGACTTAGGTGCCAGCAGTCAGGACCCTGGGTCCAGGGCCCATCTCTGCCCCTGAGTAAGTGTCTTAACTACCCTGGGCCTCATGTGAAATGGAGACAATGAGGCTCTGTGTCACCCAATTCTCAGGGTCACCGCATGGCTTAAACAACAGAGCAGATATAAACAATAGGTTTTGCAAGCTATAACGCAAACACAAAAGGAAAGAAATGAATATCGTTGTCCTTTTCATTAAATAGAGAGATGTGCAGAGTTAGAATACTCACAAGTGCAAACAAGTGACACATTCAGGCTTTAAACAGATTCAAAGGTGGTTGAGAAAATATTTTGAAGACCTGATGTTGTTTTAATAGTCTGCCAGTCCACATTGGTTTGGCTCCAGTTGGAACTGGTCCTCTAAATTGATTTTTGCAATCTTTGGTCTGATTTATAAATGAGTAAAATGCTATGACTTAGACTTCCAAACCCACAGCATGTCGTACCGTGGTTAACCGAGAATGTTCTGTCTCCCTAGCAGAACATCGATTTCTCTGAGGCAGGGTCTGCTCCACAGTGGCCCCTGTGGGTGTCCACCAGGAGCCTCCAGGGCTGGAGGACCGGCTAGGAAGGGGTCTGAGCAGATGTCTAAACCATGTCCGCTGGCCCGTAAGCCTCCTGGGCACGGATGATCACGGACTGGCAAACGGCTGAGAGGCCCCGTGCCGCCCCCTGCTCCCCTGGCCTCCGCGAGGGCGTGCACTGACCTCGGTGGAGCCGGCTGTTGTCCATGGCCGGGAGGGTGTTGCGCCTGGGGATGGTGGAGGCGGCAGAGACCGATCTGCTGCTTTCACCGAGGGGGGGTCTCTGCTGAGGGCTGCCCCATCGAGGTGTGTCCGCCTGGCTTGGCTTGGGGGGTCTGGGTGGAGGAACGATGGCTGAGTCCCCGGGAGCGGCCACCGCCATGGCGTTGTGGTTCTTGTCCAGCGTGAATGTCCTGGGGATCTGGTAGGCTGAGAGGGGTGTGGTCGGAACATCCATATTGTCCACCAGGAGGTCCCCAAACTCCCGGCACAGGGTGTTGCTGGGCGTCTTGAAGGTGTAGACGCCCTCATTATCGGTCTCAGAGCCTGTGAGGCTGCCCTCGGTGTGGCCGTGGGAGGCCAGGCTCCGGGGAAGGTCGTAGGTACTGTCTCTGAATTCTGCATTGTGCCGGCTCGGCTTGGGGAGGCTATAGAAGCCATGGACTTGACCACTGACACCGTTGACACAGTGTCCATTGCCCTGGGCTAGTTTCTGTACGGCGGTGTCACTCCTCATGAGGAACGAGGCCCTGGTGCCCTGAGAGAAGCTGGCACTCCTGAGAGAGAGAAAGAAGAGAGGGGCAGGGGGTCAGAGGAGGCAGGGCTGCCCACCCAGGGAGGGTAGCTGGCACATTCGAAGCCCCGTGCAGCTCCTTGGTGTGGGGAAAACACAGGCTGAGGAGGCAGGCAGGCCTGAGGTTTAGCTCAGTTTACAGGCTGTGCGACCTTGGGCAAGGCACTTTCTCTGAGCTTTAGTCTCTGCATCTGCAAAAATGGTGATTAAAACATACGTTGAAGGTTATTCAGAAACTAGACTCTAGTATATAGGTATTCAATCAACATTAGCCTCTATTCCCCCCCCTTTCCACAAATGGCTGTGATTAGCAGGGGCTGGTCTTACCGTAACCCCTCCCCTCTCAGGAATCAACAAGGGTATACTGCTAACTTGTTCACTGTTTGAAGTCAGAATATATACATTTGCATACAAAGGCTGAGAGATAGTAAGGAGAACCCTTAAATCAGTGTCAGAAAACAGCAAACAAGTCACTTTCTCCAAGTCTCAGTTTCCCCACTGTCAAATAAGTCAGCTTGAGGGCACTGATGTTGTAAGTTATACAGAGCTATTCAAATGTTCGCTATAAATTTATTTTCTACCCCGTATTATGGTTTGTCGAAAGGCATTTATAAGAAGAAATATCTCTTCTCCAGAAGCCAAAGTATCTATAGGAAGAATGGTTTCCTATTTGGGAACTATATTCAGAATAGGAACAGTTTTATTTTTTTTAACTTAGGTTTTTGGGAAATAAGGTAAAACTAAGCAGTTTAAAGACCTAGGAGTGGAGGGATTCGTGTTAGCTCCCAGTACTGCCACTGATCTGTTCTGAGCTTCACCAAGGCCCCCAGCGTGTGGCCTAGTGGGTCCGGCTCTGGAGGGTCCATCTGGCTCCGAAGCAGCGTAGCCCTTGGCTTTAGAAGCATGGTTTTCAAGCTGGACTTTGTCTTCTGTGCGGGGGCCTTGGGAAGCTGGAGGGTGAGGGTCTAAGCAAGTAGGGATCTAGGTCTGGTTTTCTCTCTCTTACATTATGATTATTCTAGGATTTCATTTTGGGGGAAAAGTAATCACTATTCTAGAACAATTCTTTTTTTTATTTTCACCCAAAGACATTTTTGCATGTATCTTCAGATAGAATGGGAGGGAGAGAGGGAGGAAGAGAGAGAGAGAAACATTGATGTGAGAGAGAGACATTGAGTGGCTGCCACCCACACAACCCCAACCGGGACCAGGGACAAAGTGCAACCGAGGTACGTGCCCTTAGCAGGAACCAAACCCAGGACTCTCCGGTCTGCAGGCCGACGCTTTAACCGCTGAGCGAAACCAGCCAGGGCTAGAACAATTCTTTATAGTAGTGATTCTCAGTCTTCTGGAGGCTATAAACTGCTAAGAATCTGATAAAAAGCTCTTGGAATTCCTCACCAGAAAAGCAAATTTTGTACACATACAAATTTGCATGCCAACTCTGGGGGGCGAGGGTGTCACAACCCTCTGAGACCAATCCAAGGAACTTTTGCCTTATCCAAGCTCTCACAGCCCAGGGGGAGCTTGTTATTTATGGCCATGGCCACCAGGTGGTAGTAGAAAATAGGGCCCAGAGGCCTAGAGCAAGGGCGGGAAACGGGTGTCTAGGCCAGGCCCTCTCTCAGGTAAACTTGCATCCATTCCAGTCCCAAAACCTTCAGTGGCCTCCTCTCCAGGCCTCTGTGTTCTTCCCCCTTCCTATTCCATTCCACACACATACTCAAGCCAACAGCCACGGGCCTAGTTCACATCTAGCCTTTAGAAAATGCAGTGCTTGGAGCAGAGAATGGGCGGCCCAGTGGTGGACACAAGGTGTTCACGTGGTCCACATTTGTCTTTGGTACCTTTCATTCTGATGTTTGGAGTTTCCAGCTCTCTGCTGGATGCTCCTATTGGGATACCTCACTTAACAAACATGTACTGATGTCCCACTTTCCATCTGGGCTGGGCACAATGGATACAGAGATGCCTCGTGCCCTGGGTGAGGGGGCAGGGGCGGGGCAGGGGACACGCGTGCAAATCATTACAATTAAGTGGGTGAGTAAGCTCTGTCGACAGGTTTACATTAGCCCTCCCTGGGGCGGGGGTGTGACAGAATGTTGAGGCATGCTTCTTCAAAGGTGGTGCCCTGGAGTGAGTCTGGCAATTGGCCAGGCAAAAGGCAAGAGAAGGGAAAAGGTGTTCGTTCCGGCCAGAGGCACATCGAGGCAGAACACAGCCTTGTGAGTTCACGGAACTGCTGGCTGCTCAGGCTGGAGCGAGTGCGTGAGGAGGGGGAGCTGGGAGAGGACAGTGGAGGGGCCAGGCCAGGGCTGATGGGAAGAGGGGGCCCCTGGAAAGATTTTAAGGTGGAGGTAGAGCTGGAGTGGGGGGAGCATTATAGGTGTCCTGCAGCAGCCTTAGGACATTCAAGAGCGAATTCACCCTTTTCCTTCCGACCCTTCTGTCTTGGAAATGACACCAGTCATTCTAGGCTGAGAGTTACCCACATTATGAGTTTCCACTCAGTAACTCCACAGGTCCTACTCAATCCACCCCAAATCGGGCCCTCCTGGTTTTTCTGATAATAAAAGGGCTAGGAAAGTCTCCCTAACACCTGCCCAGGACCTCTTGACACCCCAATGACATTTACTTTTCTAACTTCCCAGTAAATGTTCTCACAACTGTCTCATGACCTTTAGGACTAAACCATACACCTACTCCAATGCCTCCCTCCAATCTTTTCCCCTTGGGTCCCCTTCCCACTCTAGGGTTCATGCAAGCCAAGCTGTCCAATGTCCCCAGGATGCCCCACACAGCCAAGCCTCTGGGCTCCACTGTGCTGTCTGCTCTGTCTGAACGGTTCTTCCTCCCACCTGGCAAGCTCCTGCTGCTGCACCCTCAGCTCCTCCTCCTTCATCCTCAGCTCCCTGCCACACCTTTTTTTTTATCCTCACCTGAGGACATTTTTTTTTTCCATTTTTTGTTCAGATACAATGGGAGGGAGAGAGAGGAACAGAGAGAGAGAGAGAAACATCCACGTGAAAGGGACACATCGAGTGGCTGCCACCTGTACGACCAACCAGGGCTGGGGACAAACTGCAACCGAGGTACTTGCCCTTAGCGGGAACCGAACCCCGGTCTCTCTGGACCGCAGGCCGACGCTCTAACCGCTGAGCCAAACAAGCCAGGGCCTTGCCACACCTTTTAAAGCTGCTTGTCAGCATCCTCTAGCTCCAAGCATAACAGTCACTTGCTTAACTGTGTTCTTGGGGCAGGTAGCAATTGTTATCTGTTATGTACTATTGTTAGTTGTCTCCTCCACCAAAGGATGATGTGCTCGAGGAAAGGAACTCTCTTATTCATTTTCCTCCCTCAGCACCGGGTTAGTGCTTGAGAGAATGAATAAACCTTTGTTGAGTGAACAACAAATGAATGCAGAAAAGTACTGAACCTAGAAAGCCGATGAATGAAGGAAAGTGTTGGTGCTGCCATCCCCTCTCTTGAGCTTAGCTCCTCCCCGTTCAGAACCCAGGCATCCTCGCTAACTCACAGAGCGGCCCACTCCTCCGTAAACACCTCCCCGATGGTCTGAGCTCCAACCCTGGGCTTGCCTTCTTCACCATTCCCTGGAATGCTTCCTTGATGCACCAACACTTACACATAATGCAAAACAAGCCTTTTGGGTCCACAAAGGTGTGGCGGGCCCACTACGTCTCCTTTCCACGTCACCACGCCTTCCTGCCTGCTCCCACAGCACTCACCCTGCCTTGCGTTAGAGCTGCCGGGGTCTGTGTTTCCACTCCTACCAGACCCTGTGCTGCGGGAAGGCAGAGACTGTCCTGTGCTCAGCGTGGTGCCTGGCACGTGGTACACAGAATCGGTGGAGGAGTTGAACAAGGGAAACAAACTGGCCCAAAGTTCCATAGGCAGATGGTAGTAGAACTGGTTCTAGCTCCCAGGTGTCTGGGCGCTCTGCTTGAAGCCCACCCAGATTTGGGCAAGAATCGAGAGGGGAATTCTGAGCACTCAGAAATCTAGCGGCCTTTACTACTTCCATGTAAATGTTCACTGAGGCCATGTCACCATGATGTGTTGAGCTGCTTTCCTGGGGAGGATGCCTGGAAGCAGGGCTTTGGAGACAGACTTCTCTCCCAGGGCTGTGGGCTGACACAGGCCGCACGAAGTGAGCTGCTGTGCCAGACACATCACATGGGATGTGGCTTTAAAACCCACCAGTTCTGAGACAGGTATTACCCTCACATCCCAGCTGGGGAAAATGGTAATGGGCAGAGTCGGTACAGAAGGTATTTGGACACAAGCATATAGGGGAGCTCCCCAGGGGGTGGAGAGAAGTTTGAGAGAAGACACTCCTGAAAGCCAGCAGCTCGGTGCCCTGCCTTCCCAGTCCTGGCTGCCAGCGGCTCCGATGCTGCGGGTGGGTAGGGCGATGGCACCTCTTGCACGTGCTTTGGTCTTAACACATTTTTGACCGCTCATGAGTTCACTCGTGTTTTCCTGCCCAAACGTTGCGGACCACGCACGAGTTAACTCGGGTTTGCACTTGCATTAGCTATTTCAGTTTCTGAAACTCAGGGTAATATAGGATTACTGTATTTGTGACTCTTCACCCCGAGGGTCGAAGTTCGAAAAACAGCACACCGTTCTGTATTCTTGAAGTAGCTGGGGAATGGCTCTCTGCTGGTTCACATGAGTGCAGCACAGAACGTAACGTGCAGTTTGCCCAAAAGCGTGCGGTCCCTGGCGTATGTCTTAGAGATCTCTATGCAGTACGCAATGTGTTAAGATCAACCCCAAACCTCTTCCTTGGCTTTTAGGAACGGTTTCTTGGTTTTCCCAGCCCCTTTATTTTGCACTTGGTCTTTTGCACATTTATATAATTGTAAGCACCACACTGCACCATGGTTTCACTCTTCTCCACCTACTAGACTATATATAAGTACTTTATTATTATTATTATCCTCACTTGAGGACATTTTT